CGGCCCTCATCCGTTTGTGGACGGCTTTGACCAGGGGCTTCCGTATTAAAAAATGCATAAACTTGAGGAGGTGCTTTGGTGGAGTTCACTCCCCTGATCTGGGATTTTTAATGTTCCTAGGAAAACCTCCTGTTCCTGAGCAGCGGGCGTCTCCGTTCCTGCATCCTCCTTACCTTGGGGCTCACCCAGTAAGGTCTCCCAGATGTAGGTGTTGGAGCCCCAATCACCATCTTCAGAGTTTGAGACCTCCTCCTGCCACTCATCCACGATGGAGAGAGAGTGGGTAACATCTCTTTCCTCATCTGAGTAATCATCCTGAATAGGAGGGGGGAGAATTGGCGCTGGGCGTGAGGGGCGTCTTGCCTTTGCCAGTTTCCTTCCTGGAGCCCTCGCCCTTTCAATGGCGTTTTGCCGGGTGTGCCCTCTCTCTGGAGGAGTTATCCGACTCATCTGAGTCTTCCCTGCCTTGGGAGAGTTTTGGAGCTGGCTTGATAGTATTGGAGACCACAGGGAACACTTTGGCCATAGCCTTCTCCAGGGATTCAGCCACTGCCACGGTGATCATTGCCTGGATAGCCATGTGGCTCTGGGTATTGTCCATGATAGGGCTATATACACCCTGTTCTAAATTATTATGCAAATGATAATTTTCTCATTTACCTAAATAATTGATGTAAATAACGGTCAGCATAATTCTCATGTTATCAACTATTAAGAGTAGTGATGTCCCGAACGGTTCGTCGAATGGTTCGCGAACGGTTCGCCACGAACGGTTCGCCACAGAATCATCATTGAGTAAACTTTGACCCTGTACCTCACAGTCAGCAGACACATTCCAGCCAATCAGCAGCAGACCCTCCCTCCCAGACCCTCCCACCTCCTGGACAGCTCACTAAGAATGCAGCTTCACAATGAATGTAAAGTGGATGCTGTCCAGGAGGTGGGAGGGTCTGGGAGGGAGGGTCTGCTGCTGATTGGCTGGAATGTGTCTGCTGACTGTGAGGTACAGGGTCAAAGTTTACTCAATGATGAGTCCGTGGCAAACCGTTCGCGAACCGTTTGGCGAACCGTTCGGGACATCACTAATTAAGAGTACAATTCAAATTTTATTGAAAAAACTTTCTAATGATAACAGTATTTTTTTTTACACATAAAACACTTACAATGCACTGTTAAAATTATTCTGCACAGTAAAGAACTGAAAATTGTAATTTGTTGTGTTTGCAGCATATTTACTGAAATCAAAAGCTATTTCAATCAAACTTATAACAACATTTTAACTTTTTAAACATTTTAACAGGTCATGTTACATTTTAACATAGGACCCCTTATTTGATAGCAGCTTCACAAGTCTTGCATCCATTGAACTTGTGAGTTTTTGGTCAGTTTCTGCTTGAATTTGTTTGCAAGATGTCAGAATAGCCTACCAGAGCTGCTGTTTGGATGTAAACTGCCTCCCACCCTCATAGATCTTTTGCTTGAGGATGCTCCAAAGGTTCTCAATAGGATTGAGGTCAGGGGAGGATGGAGGCCACACCATGACTTTCTCTCCTTTTATCCCCATAGCAGCCATTGATGCAGAGGTATTCTTTGCAGCATGAGATTATGCATTGTCATGCATGAAGATGATTTTATTATGGAAAGCATAGTTCTTCCTTCTGTACCAAGGAAGAAAGTGGTCAGTCAGAAACTCCACATACTTTGCAGAGGTAATATTTACACCTTCAGGGACCCTAAAGGGGCCGACCAGCTCTCTTCCCATGATTCCGGCCCAAAACATGACTCCACCACCGCCTTGCTGATGTTGCAGCCTTGTTGGAACAGGGTGGCCATCCACCAACCATCCACTACTCCATCCATCTGGATCATCCAGGGTTGCACGGCACTCATCAGTGAACAGGACTGTTTGAAAATTAGTCTTCATGTATTTTTCTGTCCAAGGCATTGAACTATTTCACTCTTTTTGGCAGCAGAGAGATCCTTTTTCTTCTCCATATTGCATGAAAATGGTGCTCTGCTTAATAATGTGGAACACCCTCCTTTAGTAGTTTTTCCTTAAATTGGGCTCACCTGGCAATCTAATTATCACAGGTGTCCGAGATTGTTTTCAGTGATCAAAAGAGCTCCTGAGACACAATGCCATCCATGAGTTAAACTGAAAAACAAAATATTTAATCTTTGTGACACTTAAATAGAATTTGCATAATAATTTGGAACAGGGTGTAGGTACGTTGCAAATTGTTTAACAAACAGGCACAGGTCGGAGAGGTATAGGGACCGGTTGGAAGGGGAGTGAAACAGTCCGTGGGTCTTAACATACACACAGCCTACTGGCGTTCGGCAATAAACAGACTCTTATTAATTTCACTGGGGCTCACCCAGGAAAACCGGAATTGCAAAGACAAATTCTGCTCAGCCCTTGCCAGAATACTAGGATAAACCTGACTGGTAGTCCCACTCCCCAGGGATATAACACCAACCTGACCAGGTCCCTGACAGCCTGCACAGAACAGCTGGACAGTAGCAAACAGCCTTTTCGTGATGGGAGTAAAATCCCTGACCACCAATACCAACAAGATGGCCGCCGCGGGTCTTGCAAGAACTGGGGTCAAAATGGTGCTAGAAAGGCCGCGAAACGCATTCATGGAAAACCTATACGAAATTAAAACGACTGTAATCACGCGCGAATAGAGAAATCGGCCAGTTCGTGCGCAAACCACCAAACACGGGTGTGCAGAAATACGCGCGAACGGCCCGTCCTTTCCAATATACACAAATCAACAGGATTCCTAGGCAGACTCATTGAAATCAATGCAAAGGGTGCGCAGGAAACTCGAGGACAGTGGTTAACGTAGCCACAGGGAAAGGGGGGGGAGGCAGGCTGCCTCAGGGAAGAGAGGGCCTGAAGAGAGAGGGGACAGAATGCCAATAAGAAAAGAAAAATACACCCCACGAAAGAAGTGGAAATAAAGGGATAGCCCCCCGTCACCTCCACCAGAAAGGGTATATAGTAATCACATACAATAGATTCAGTTTAAGATACAAACAGTGAACCAGCACTCTGACCTGACTTGTGATGGAGCAGCCAAGAAAGAGGAAGTGATTTGCATATGCTTTCCCTTATATACACTCTGACTGTGTTCTGATTGGTTCTTTATTTCAACAGTTTTTTCTTTGCTGCTATGGAGTTAGTAAATAAAGTTAATGCAAAATATGAAGCCTCCTGTCATGTGGTAAAATGTTAGTGCATCACATGAATTGCAAAAAAATACACGCAGAAACTATGACACATATAACCTTTCATTTTAAATAATTATACCTTAATATGAAACTTTTCCTTTAACGGCTTTAGAGAGACTACAGGCAGCTTAAAAGTACTCTGTCAGGATTTAACTTTGAATTTCATACACTTTCCTCAGCATTTACACATACATTTGTAATAAAAGTCTTCTACGAGATCCCTTGTAATGGAGGTCTCGACACATTACCCACTGTCCAGCAGTGCTGTAGATATCTAAGCTTGAGGAACTTAATAATGTGGAACACCCTCCTTTAGTAGTTTTTGATGTCACTCTTACTGTCTCTTTATAAACCAGATCTGCCAAATGAGCATAATCGTGTCTCTTATATATCCGAGGGCCCCATGAAGCTTATACTGGTCATACAGCTACAATTCCTTCCTAATTTGGGTTGGTGTTGATGTTACCTTGTCATATTATACAGAGTGCACTTTTAGGTCTGCTACGTTTGTTTTTTCCCATTTTAGCTGGAGGTGCATGGCCAGGGTGACCTGATCCCCTATGTTTTCTGGGACACATATCATATATACATATTGATGGGAAGCACATAAAAAGAGTAGCCCTGTGGTATGTAGAATTCAGAAGAAAGTGTATAAGAGTAAGCAATTAGGCAATAAAGAATCCTGGAATTAAGTAATTAGGCAATGAAGAATCCTGTAGAATATGCATTACGCAGGGCATCCCTTTTGATGCGTTTTCATGAATATGACAAAATTATACATGTCCCTGTAAACATGGTGGATTTGGTCACCCTGTGCATGGCTGGTCCTTCCCTGTTATTTTCCCTATTATCCCTCTCTATCCCTTCCCTCTCTTTGGGGTACTCATCCCAGGTTGTTCCTGTTGGGGGGGTGGGTTTCTTTTCTGATTTTATCCTCATGGTTATTTAATTGGCTATGCATTGAGACTTACCTTGTTTTGTTTTTTGTTTTTTAAATCTTTGCTGGAAAGTAATCAATGTAAATGTTTGCTATTGGATCAGATGCAAAGTAAATTATGTCAAGCAAAACCCTGATAAGAGTCGCAATCCTAGTATTTAGGTGGCCTTTTCCAGTATAAGATGAAGCAGGAGAAGTTCTCTCATTTTAACCCATTTTAAAGAAAAACTCCACCTCGAAAAAAAAAGGCCTGTTATTTGTTTTGCATGTTTTCTTTGGAGTTATATGAAATCTTGCCTCACAATAGCTGCAGATATAGTATATAGTAGAAACAAAGTTTCGGCCATGAAGTGGAAATCAATTCAATCAATTGATTATTCTCTGTGTATCTGCCCCTGGCCAAATTAAGAAACAATGCGTGCATGCTCCCTGATGTAATTCACACCAGACACAGGTTTCAGGTTGATGAATAACTTGAGGAATGTTGGGGGGCGGGGCCTGACCGCCAAGCTGGATGGACGTGGAACAGCTCGGCTCCTCCATGAAACCTAAACATTTAGCTTCAAATAACTCTTCCTCCCCTGAAAAAGCCACACAGCTGCTAATAGGCGACACAGGGGACCTGAGCACAACTCCTGGTGCACATACCGACCCCCGTCCTACCGGCGATGCTGATTACTGGGCAGCTGGGATTGCGGCCCGTCGCGAGGCTCTGGCGGGAGATGCGGCCGGTCTCCCGTGCTTAGTCCGGCGGGACCTCTCGCACGCCTACTGAGGGCCCCGTTCTCCCCCCCCTGTGGGCCGGGGGGGTTATCCCGGACCCCACCGGAGAAGCAATCACTCATGACGCTTGGGCGGCGAGCCGAAAGACTATGGACCGCATGGCGAAACCCAAGATGGCCGCCGCGTCCCTCACTAGTTGGAGAATGGAGGTGGCAGCAATAGAGCAACCGCTGGGCACCGTTTGGAAACAGAGGTGGACCAGAACACCATGCACTGACTGTGTCCCGCAAACAACAACACACTCTTTCCACCCACCGGACGACTCTAAGGAGGGCACAGTCAGCATGTAAGCACAGCTTATATATTATCTGAGGCAGCATCTCACATGGTCTCCG